CAACAAAAAATTGTCAATTTAAGTTTTATTCGTGTCCAACTTCGAAGCACAAATTACTACAAAAGAAAAATGTATTTATATCATAAAAAAGCATAAGTAACATAACCTAAATTATGCATTATTTTTGCGCCCGATTTTAAAGTCAGTTTGAAATAAATAATAAATAAAAGTTTACTTTTAAGTGTAAATTTTAGTTTCATAACACTCACTTAGAGTTCATTTTAACCCAAAAATCAAGTTTAATGTTTAAATTTTATTTTTTTGAAGTTTAGAAAAATGCATCAATATCAAGTTTTTCTGAAGATGCATTAAGATATATTAGCCGTCCAAAAGTTTACAGGAAAAGAATTAATTGTTCAAACCAATATGATGATATCATGGGCTTAACCTGCTAATTTATGCATTAGCATTATTTATGGTAATTTATTTTTCTTAATTCTTCCACATAATTCTTCCATTCTTTTTTGACATTTGCCATTACTAAAGCTTTTCCCTTTGACTCAGTGCTTGGTTGAAAAGTTATTTGGTGATTTATTTTCTCAAATCCAGTTTTTATTATTGTGCTGTAATTTAATAATATATTTATTTGTATTTACAACATACCGACATAACCTCAATCTTACTTTTTCTTCTTATTCTTTTTTGGGGCTACATCCTTGACAGTTATCCGGTAACCTCGATCTTACATGAAAGCGCAGTAAATTTTGCTGATTTATGGCACCAGGTGTCGCTGTTCCGAACTTGCACTGTCCCAATACACCCCAGTGGGGTTAAACCGAAAATGCTTTCTAGATCCTATTTCTTAAGTGGATTAGTCTTTTTTGTTTATCTTATCTTCTTGACAATATCTCTTAATTTTTTCCTGTCTCTGATTATTCCTCTCCATTCTCTGATTCCTGCCCTTTAGAGGTCTCCTTCAACTTCTTGCAGCCACTTTGATCTCGGTCTTCCCCTTCTCTTTCTGCCTCCTGGATTCCATTCTATCATTGCGTATGTCACTGCCTCATCTCCTGCTCGCCAAATGTGACCTAACCATCTAACTCTGCATTACTTTATTTTAGTTACGATGTCTTCCTTAATTTCTGCATTTGTTCTGATTCTATATTCATTTTGCTCTGTTCTGATTGGTCCTAGTATGGTTCTCATAATCTTTCTCTCTGCTATTCTTAAGTCATCTTCATCTTTTTTAACCATCGTCATTGTTTCTCCTGCATATAATAATATTGGTCTAATTATGGTGTTATAAATGCTCATCTTACTTTTTTTAGTCAGTGCTTTGCTTTTAAGTAATCTTTTGTTTGCAAAATAAGCTTTATTTGCTGCTAATATTTTTTCTTTTATTTCGGATTTCCTTTCTCCGGATTTATTTATTGTAACTCCTAGGTATTTGAAGTATTCTACTTCTTCAAACTCAGAACTTCCTATTTTGATTTTTTCTTTCATTGGTTTTTTCCCTAATCTTAATATTTTTGTCTTTTCTTGATTTAATCTTAGCCCTATTAACTCCCTTTCTCTCTTATTTCTTCAAGCATTTCTTTCATTATTTTTCTGTTCTTTGCAATAATAGCAATATCGTCTGCATATGCAATTATTTGACCACCTCTTGTTCTGAGATTTCCTTTATTTATATTTCGCAGTACATATTCTAATGCTAGATTAAATAGAGTTGTTGATAAGGCATCTCCTTGTTTCATCCCTTTATTTATACTGAATTCCTCTGTATCTCCTCTTTGTGTCTTTATGCTTATTTTTGTAGTTCTCATTGTCATTTCTATTAATTTTCTGAGTTTATGTGGAATTTTTAATTTTTTAAGTGCTATCATTAATATGTTCCTTTTAATTGAATCAAATGCCTGTTTGAAGTCTATGAATAACATTTCCAGTTCTAATTTATACTTGTTTGCTTTTTCCATAATTTGTTTTATTGTGTATATTGCATCTATTGTAGATCCTCCTTCTGTGAATCCACATTGGTACTGTTCTACTGTCTTCTTTGTGATCTTTGATAACCTCTTTTTTATTATTGATGTCAATATTTTATATGTTGTATTTAGTAATGTGATGACTCTATAATTTTCACAGATTTGTTGGTCTCCCTTTTTATGTACTGTTATGATCTGCCCTACCTCCCAGTCCCCTGGCATTTTCTCTTCTTTCCATATATTTTTCAATAGTGCCAGTATTTTTCCTCTTAGTTCCCTTCCCCCGTATTTTATTAGTTCCATATTAATTCCATCTTTACCAGGGGCTTTTCCATTTTTGCTTCTCTGTATTACTTCATCCAATTCCTCTAATGTTGGTTCTTTTGAAATTTCGATGTCTACTTCATCTGCTTCTTCTTCGTGTACCATTTCCTCCTCGTTATGCATTTCTTCTTCTGTTGTTTCCTCCGTCAAGAGCACTCTGTAGTAATCTCTCCATACTTGCTTGTATGTCCTCTATTATCACTATTCCCTCTCTATTTTTTATTCCGTTTGTTTTGCCCTTGTATTTTTTGTTTTGTTCTTTAATCTTTTTGTAAAAACTTTTTGTATTTCTGTTTGTTCTTTCCTGCTCTATTTCCTGCATTTTTTTGTCTACCCATCTTCTTTTATTTTGCCTTATCACTTTCTTAGCATTCCTTCTTAATTTTTCATATTCTTTTCTGTCTTCCTCTTTATCTGTTCTTAGCCATTTATTTTTGGCTTGCACTTTTTTTCCTATTATTTCTCTAGATTTTTGGTTATACCATCCGTTTTTTGTTTTAGCCTGACTTTTACCTATCTGCATATTTGCACCTTCTTCTATTGATTTTTTTATTGTCTCCCATTCTGTGCTTATATCTTCTGCTTTATATTTCTCTTTTATTTGAACTGTTACTGCCTCTTCGTATTTTTTTCTTACTTCTTCATTACTCAATTTATTGACATTCCACTTTTTATGTTGGTTTTTTTGTTTTGTTTAAATTTAAACTTTTTGTCTTATAGTGGCTGTGACCATGTAGTGGTCTGAATCTGCACATGCACCTCTGAATGTTCTTACATCTTTAATTGACAATTGTTTTTGTTTATTAATCATTATGTGATCAATTTGACTATATGTTTTCTGATCTGGTGACCTCCATGTTACCTTATGTATTTTAGGGTGTTCAAATTTTTTTGAGCTTATTAACAAATTTGCTCTTGTTGCTAGGTTACATAGTCTTTGCCCATTGTCATTAGTGTTTTCGTGTATTGTATGCTTTCCTGCAATTTGTTGTAAAAAGTCCTCTTTTCCAATCTGGGCATTGAAGTCTCCTAGTACAAATATGACATCTTCTTTGGGTATTTTTTCTGTCTCCTCTTCGACCTTATCATAAAAGATTTCTTTTTCGTCTGCATTGCTTGTTTCTGTGGGAGCTTATAAATTCAAGACTGATATATTAAATGGTTTGCTGTTGACTCTAACATAGACCATCCTTTCGCATATTGGCTTGAAATTTATAATTTTCTCTCTTAGGTGCCTTAGTATCATGAATCCCACACCTTTTTGCCCTTGTTTCTTTCCTCCTGAATATAACATTGTAAAGTCTTGTTTATCAATCTGTCCCTGTCCCTCCCAGCGTAATTCTTGCAGTGCTGCAATATCTATTTTATACTTTTTGAGTTCTTTTCCTATTTCTAGCATTTTTCCTGGAGCTAGCATAGTTCTATGTTCCATATGTGCTTATTTTCAACTCTTTATTTTTTTGCTCTGTTTTCTTCATCCTTTATTTTTGTTTTCTTGTCCATCTTTCTTTATTTCACTTTTGTTGTGTCTGGGTTTATCTGCTGTCATTTCCTGTTTCTTTGCCTCGTCCGTCAACGAATAATGCATCCTCTGATTCCTTGCTAGTTTTTTTAACCACCTCCATGATGGTCCTCCAGCTGGTTGATGTTTCTATTCCATCTCCTTTCTAGACCATCTATTATAAGTTTGTTGGCCTTAATTTGGACACATTTACCTTTCTTTATTTCATCTTTTGCTATTCTTCGTATTTCCTTCTGTATTTGTAATTCCTCTGTAGTTAGATCATTGTTTATATATATTTTTTCATTTTTCACTTCTTTAAGTTTACTTTTGTTTTTTCTTCTTTGTCTGGCAGTCTGACTAAACATGTTTTATCTCCTAGTTTCACTGCTTCATCTATATTTACGGTCATATTTAGCTCTTTTGTCATAAAATTTCCTATCACTTCTTTTAGTATTCTTCTATCTCCAGTTTCTATTGTCATTCTCTGTATTATCACATTATTTTCTTTTCTTATTCTATCCAGCTTTCAAGGCGTCCTTTTGTCTCATTCTGATCCTTTTTGATTTGTTCATTTTCTTTCCAGATTTCACTATTCTCTTGTTTTAGTTCTGCTAGTTCAGTTTTGAGTTCCCTCATTTCTTCTCTGTATTGTTTTTGTTCCGTTTTTACTTCTTTTATATCAGTTTTTAATTCTTGTAACTCTATTGTTAAATTTTTTATCATATTTAGTATTTGATCTATTTTGTTTTCATCTTTGTGACTTTTAACCGGGCTTCTTTGTAATTTGTACTTTGTATACAGATAATACATATTTTCCATTTTTTTAAGAAAAAACCAACACTTTGAACTTCTGTAACTCAAAAACAATTGATTTCTGAGTCTTGGTGCTATGAGAATTTTTGATCAGCATGATCAATACTACCATTTTGCAAAGTTTCAGTCAATTTAACTGAAACAATTTGCTTATAAGAGAAGTCATTTATACCACATATTATGCAGTGTTATCCATCAAAGCATGCACCAATTATAATTTCTCATACTCAAAAGCCCTCAGTTATAAATTTTTATACTTAAATGGCTACAAACATGAAAGTTATGAAAAGTCATGAAAAATAAAATTTCAAATTTAACACCGTCAACTGATATTCATTGATTGTTTTACACAAATTTTTAGGCTGCCTCCAATATCTACTCAGAATTTTGTACCAGTTCCATCTTACTACACTAATATCTAAATATTTAATACTAACCTGGCTTTAGATCTCTATGTATTAGATTGTTATCTCTTAAATGTTTCATTCCTTTATATAAATGCTCCAATACTAACAAAAATTCAGACTCTTCTAAACCATATGTATTTTCAGGATCGTCTAAAATGTTAAACAGACTTCCACCAGTACACAGCTCCATAACTATTACTTTGCCCCTGTTTTCTTGCTCTTCTTCAATTGCCAAAAGTTTAACAATATTTTCATGATTAACTCTTTGTAGTACTTCGAACTCTCGCAGCTGAATTTCTTGTGGTCTAAGTGTGCTAAGTTGATTAAATGTTTTAACTGCTACAGGTTCACCATTTACCTTGTTAACACCTTGATGAACAGTTGCAGTAGCACCTTTCCCCAGAATACTGGTAGTAGACCAAACATAATTTGTTGAACCTCGTAAATAGGAAGACATTTTTATCCAAAAATAAAATATGTCTTTTAATTATAAAAGATTATTTATTTGTATTTACATTATTTGATTATTCACATTCGCCACGAACATGTTATTGTCACTGTCAAGTGTCAATATGTCAGGTAGGTGACTAAAGGTCGATTCAAACACATTAGTCACGTCTCGTCACAGTCCCGGCGCCAGACCGAACAATTCGTCATACAAAATATTCTTTAATAGAAATATAATTATGCCGCCCGCATTCAAGAACATTATTCATCAGTTGACGAACAGTTTCCCAGCTGTCAGATAATTAATAGTTCTGTGACCAAACAGGACCGGTTCGGCGCCGGGACTGTGACGGGACTGAGGTGTTTGAATCGACCTTCGATCATTTGCTCGATAGTCGATGGTCAATACATTCATATTTGTAAAATAATTAAATAGTATATTAGTTTATAACGCATACTGTACTTACTTAAATTTTAGTAATTTTAAAGATACTATTATTTTGTTTTTCTTTTCAGTGAATTACATTTTTTAGTAATTATCGTTTTTTTTTGTGCTGGCGTCCCCCAAGCATCTGGTGGCGACTCTTGGGCAGTCTTGGGTACGCACCCCACTGACCCCATAGTTTGAGAAACGCTGTTAAATTAATTCTATCTATGTTGTAAACTTTGACAACAGCTTGTCTGTCTACGTCAATTGTCAATTTTGAATTTAATAACCGTTGATAAGATTTTTACTGTTTAAGTGCTAAAAAATTCTTAAAAAATAGTCTAATAAAAGACTGAGTTAATAAAAATAGTGTAATAAAAGTTAGTTAATATTTAGTAGTGATTCCTAACTGGGTTAGTTTCCTATCGCCAATATAGTAATTATGTCTACGACTGAGCATCATACTAGGTAAGTGTTTATAAATAGTAGCCTCCTGCAAGACCACAGTAATCAACGTTTTAATTAAATGTAACATTTAAATACTTACTTTGAAATTCTCAATGACAACAAATTGGTATTAGCCTTAAAATTGTTCTTTTAATGTTGGTCAAAACATTGTCAAAAGGTAAAATTTACTCATACTCAAAAAAGGTGTCATTAGGATAAATTAGGACAATTAGGACAAAGGATAAATTAAACTGTAATTTAAATTAAAAATTGCATTTTTATTAAGACCTAATCTAAGCATAGATTAAATTAATCTCTTCTGAGAAGTTGTATAGATGCATTGTGTACTTGGTGATTGATTAAGCCAAAATAAGCAATTTAAGCCCTCACTTCAATGTTTTTAAAAAAATTTATTGTTTCTCAAAGACATTTTGAAAAACAGATTGCATTATCTATTTTAGTTCTTGTCATTATATTTTGTTGTTTTTTTATATATTTTATTTATGTTTACACTGTCATACTTCAGGTTTATCAGTTACAACAGTTGTTTATGTTTGTAGTTTGTACACTGCATACAATCATGAACTATAAACATGGAATTCATATGTGTGTATCTTATAATTATTATGTAAATGCTTTTCGCATTTTAATTTTTGTATAGTTTATTATACCATTTTTTATATACACAGCCAAAACAGTAAACACCCTCTACAGGGTATCATGGATTCGTCTATGACCAAATCTTGAGTAGGAATTATACAGTTTTTAAAATCCTTTACAGTTCTTTATGCTCTGCCAAGAAGCCCTTCCGAGAATATTTTTTAAAACTATCCAGTTTGCCTCTTTGCCCTGAAAATATTCTAATTCTTGTAATGGTACATTTTTTTTTTCATATAAAAATGGAAAATCTTTAAACAAAAAAAAAGAGACTAATTATTACCCTCATAGGTAGTCCATAATATGACTTTTTTAATGGTGATATACTCATATTTAAGTTAGTTTACACCAGTGATAACCACAAATAGAGCTAGAGCAAATAATAGAGCTAATTCCAACAGATGGTTTTAATGGTTTTGGACAATATCATTCAAGAAAATTGAAAAAATTACCTACAGGAAAAAAACATTGTTTGGCTTTTGGAGAAATAAATTTTGTTTGAAGATGGTATTGTAAAAGAAGAGCTATTGGTAATTGTAAGTGTAGCTTAATACTGGTTTGTAAAATATATTATTGATAGAATGACAAAAAACTGAATATTGTAGTAGGAATAAAACTTGTATGGACTCAATTCTGTAGCAAATATGCATTACGTTTCAGCAGTACCGTGACACCTGATCTTATCGAAGTTTTGTATTACTTATTTTTAGTTTTACTGGCAGCAATGTGGACTTTAGTAGGTTTACATTAACAAAGTATGCCCTTTTCCCACCATAATTGGTGGTTGGTAACATGATTATGACCGTTTTGTGGCTTTAAGAAATTAGTGTTTTAAGAGCAGACTGAAACAGTGTTTAGATAGGATACAAAACAACATTTCAGTTAATCCAAAATCTTTTTGGTTGTACATTAAAAGCCAAAGAAATTGGTATAATTTACCATCTAGAATGGTCTATAATGACAGGGATGAATGATCAGTCTACTAGGATCAACAACTAGATAATTTACCTTGTTACTAGATAATGCTATTACAAGCTGTAAAAATTGATTATGTTCAGGGCCTGATGGTATCTTGGTTTATTTTCTGAAAAAATTCTTATTTGTGTTTACAAAACTATTTTTGTTTATTTTTAACAGATTGCTTGGTACTGTTATACTCCATTCGCTTAGCTTGGGTATATTTTGACAGATTCATTGTCGGAAACCTACAAAACAAGAATTCCTACTTCTCAGTATTAATAGTGGAAGTGTATACTAAACCCATCAAATTTTGGGTAGTATATATTTAAAAAATAAATTTTAGTTGTTATAATTTAACATAACTATTTATTATATGGTGCTAATAAATAAATATTGATTGTCGGTAATTCGCACAGTTCTATTTTATTTACTATTTAGTTTGTTTACTATTAATATGGGCTATGAGTATGTGTGCTTAGTTGTATAGTAATTTCCAGCCACTTCTAGTTTGTCAAAAAGTAACTAACTTCACAAACAAATAATTACTAAATTCACTAGACAGTTCAGACTGGGAATAGCGAACCGAGTATAGCTTTCCCTGCCTCTAGAAGAAAAGCTTTTTAAATCAGGTGCAAGGAATGACATATTAAACTATCCAGCTATCTTCTGTAATCAGTCAGAGCTGCCAAAGTTGCTTGATTGTTTGGTTAGTAAGAAATTGACAGGGAGCTTTAGAGGCATTTTTAATCTTGAACAATTTGGTTTTATGAGATTGAGGTCAACTGATGCCAATCTAGTTTTGTATGTCAAGCATATATTTAACAGCTTTGAAGAGGTATTACAGGTTGACTCAATCTATACTGACTTTTCCAAAGCATTGGATCGGATCAACTAATGGGTCCTCTTACAAAAACTAAGTGTATTGTAAATCCCTTTTTCAATGGATTTCGGAATTTATTAGTACCATTAGTACCATTATACAGTACCATTAGGGGTGCCGCAAGGCTCTTATTGTGGCCCTGTTTTGTTTTGCTTGTCTCTGGTCGATTTAGTACAAAAAATCAAAAATTGTACTGTTCTTAGGTTTGCTGAAGATGTAAAACTGTTTAGAAAATTTCAATCCTGGAATGATGCTGTCCTATGACAGGAAGATCTTAAATCATTTTATGATTGGTGCACTTTAAACAAAATGTCACTGATCATAAACAAATGAAGAAAACAAAGAAAACCAATTACATTTGTTTACTCTATAAATAACTTGCCATTGGCCTCTAAAAATAAAGTATCATAGATACCAACCTGTCATTTTTATACCACATCAATTAAGTAACGAAAAGGGCAATGAAAGTACTGGTATTTATCCAACACATATATCTGTAGACCTGTCTTTGTTCATATTTAAAAGACTTTATTGCAGTCTTATTCAGCCCATTCTAGAGTATTAGTCAGTTGTATGGTCCCCATCATACAACTGTTACATTAAACAGATTAAAAGGGTCCAAAGGGAGGAATGTGACTATTAGAGGGTAAGAGATAGTATTGATTTTCCAACACATGAGTCAAGGAGGATATTGTTAGGTTTATATTTCCTACACAAAGTTATTGATGCTATTATAGATTGTCCTCAATTGCTATCACTCATTAGTCTCAAAGTATCCAGTAGAAACAACAGACAATTGGAAATCTTTTCAGTGCCATTTTACTACACTAATTATATGGTATCAATGAACCAACTACATGATTGGTCCAGAGTGCTAATAGCCTACCAAGTCAAATAAATATTTTTGAGTCCAAAATTAGTTTATTTAAAAAACAACAAAGAGGTATCTTATAATAAGTGGTCTCTTTTACATTTCAATACTAGTCTACCCTTGATAGCTGTATTAAAGTTGTTACCTATTGTATATTATTCGGAGATGTTTAATATTTTAAAAATTTATCATTTTTAACATGTAGATTTGTTAAAACTTTTATAAATGATCAGCATTTATAATATATTAGATTTTATAGATTGATCAGCAGATTTCATAATGTAGAAACTCATTTATATTGTATTCAGACCTTTTATTTCGGAGATCTTGATTTCTTTGTAATCAATTTTATTAATAAAACCTTTCTGATTTTACATTAAATTTTAAAAATAATTGTTTAAGCTTTTATTAATCATTTATTACCTCAATTTCAAAAACTATGGAATGTCTTCATATTAGATCATTTATCATTTGAAACTCAGTGTCTCAAGAGAAGCTATGGAAATTAAATTACTTTTTTTTTCTATTATTTGATACACATTTGCTGTAGGTTTGTGTATTTTGTCAATTGTTTTATCATACCATTACATCCGTAAAATAAAAATAAAAAATATTAACTAAAAAGCATTCTGCTTCTAAACACAAAATTCTAATATCTGTAAAAATGTCACAGAAAAGTTAATGTTGATAACAATAAAATGTACTATCAAATGCTTATTTGTTTCAGTAAAACATCCTGTGAAGATGATGGTTTGAATGACACATTTG